ATAATGCTTTGGAATTTTGCAGCCATTTTCATGACATGAACATGACATGAACTGTTCTGGCAGCCGATGTTCCCTTTTGTTGATGCTGGAATTGGTCTGGGTAAATGTATGTTGGCGTTATACCACGGCAGATCAGAACAGACAGCATGTGGATCAGTTTAGGGTGTCATTCAAATCACACATCATCACTTTCTTTCCCTACAGAAAAACCTTACAGCTAAGGGTACGTCTACACTACGAGATTAATTCGAATTTAGATAATTCGAATTTGGGAAACAGATTGTATAAATTCGATTGTGTGCGGCCACACTAAGCACATTAATTCGTTTTTTAACCACATTAATTCGGTGGTGTGCGGCCACACTACCCCATTAATTTTAACCACATTAATTCGGTGGTGTGCGGCCACACTACCCCTAATTCGAATTTACAAAATCGATTTTGGTGCTACTCCGCTCGTCGGGGTGGAGTAGAGAAATCGATTTTAAGCGCCCTTTAATTCGAAGTAACTGGCTCCGTTGTGTGGACGGGTTAAGGATTAATTCGGATTAACTCAGCTAAATCCGAATTAAAGTCGTAGTGTAGACCAGGCCTAAGATGCAGTATAGTTGACATACTAATCTTTATATCAAAGAAAACAGTTGTAAATGTTTGTAAAGATCGGTAAATGGAGATGATGCTGCAACTCACCTAATGGCATCATATTTGTCAGGATATTGGGACATTCCCCTCAGCAGTGTCACTCACTCATTTTAAACTAATCAACATATTATTTTCACTCCTAATCTGGAGTGAAATGAGAATGAATTACAAGCATGTCTCCAGTACAGTGGGCACATTGATATTGGGATACTAAAGCCCATCCATACTGGGCTACCTTTAATACTCCATACTAGTCAATAATTAATGATACTCAATCATAATTTACCTGTAGATACTGCCTTTCACATCAAAGATCCCAAAGCACTTCCCTACCTATGGCACATTGCTTAAGTGCTTTGCTGAATCAAGGCCTACTAGAATGCACCCACTTCTGGAGTGGAGGGTATTCGACACAACATCACAAGGGCAAGACTTTTATATGACTTGGTTAAAGGTGCACTGTGAACGTTTTTCTTTTAAGCTGAAAAACTTCGGCTGATTTTTACCAAGGCAGAAAGAAATAGAAGAAGGATCTCAGTTATAAACAGATATCCAGTGAAGTTACGTGGCAGCTCATGTTGATAGTTGTGAAATGTGTGGGGGGTTTTTAATCTATGTTCATTGACAAAGCTTCCTCAGAGCCTAGCCAAGGTAATGGAACTCTACCGCTGATCAACATGTGCCTTTCTCGGAGAGAGCTCATTTCCCTTTGAGTTTTGCATGTGTGGCTATAAATGGCACTGCCTTTTGGCCAAAGGTTTTTCCAGAGGCGGTGCTACTGATTTCCATGTGCTGAAGCAGCCTTGTTGTTTTGTGACCAAGGCCCTGCTATCCTTTCCTAAAGCGCATTTGTAGCTCAGGTCTCCGGATATTCATTTGCCAGAGGACCTTTTTACCACTTAGTAGATTCATTCATTTATAAGATATTCACAGGGTGCCTTGCACTCTCAATACCTACTATGCAGAGCTGGTCAACATTTTTTTTACAATACATTTTTCTTTGTTAAAAAACAGGGTTGCTATGATGATGAAATTTCTTGCCAAAATGTCATGGCTGACAAACCTTTTCATTTTTGGATTTTCTTTCGTTCAGAATGGTGAGAAAATTTCCCATTTCACCCCCCACTTCCTGTAACCAACAGGGAAAAAAAAAGTTTCCCCTCCACTCCTCCCTTTGTCTTACTTTTTTCCCCAAAGAAGGGGGGAGGGGGAATAAAAAAGTGAGAAAAGGGGGTAAAGGAACCAAAAATTCAATATGAAATTTTTCATTTAAAATATTTTCCATGGAGAAATGGAAAAAAAGTTGTGAAAACTTTGGAATGAAACCAAACCTCCTCGGTTTTCAACAGCTTTTTGAGAACACGTCTCCCCAAAACTTTTGACCAGCTCTACTATTGGGAGTGGATGGTGCTCATTCCTCACAGGATCAGTTGCATTTTTATCTAGCCAAAAAGAGCCATGTACCATGCCGAGGGAATACATTAAAGCTGGGATGCAACCCGATGGCGGGGAGGTGTGTGGCTGGATGCCAGTTAGCTGTTGCTTGATGATTTTGGCATGCAGTTGCTATGGGTGCTCAGTAGGTCTGATCAAAGGTTGAACTGATTGGACTTAGGTTCAACCCCGTTCATAAATGAAGACAGTGGTAGTGGAATGTTATTAAGCAGAGTAAAAAACACCTGCCAGAGAGTGACTCTTTAGCTAGTTTTTATTTTTAAATCTCCGTTTCTGTTGGGTGTTTCCTTTACAAAAAGTGGAGCCTGCCCCCGACCTTCTTGCCAATCTAGGACAGAAGCCAGGGGGTGAATGATCAAGGAGACTGAATTACCATGCAGTCCCATATTCAGGCCCTGGGCTGGGCAGTAGATTTCATCCCTCATGCACATGAGCGTCATCTACTTGGGCTTTGTTGTCCTTATCTCAGGACTTCCACTGACTTCACTGGGCGTTGGATGAGGCCCCATGAGGGTTAAATGACTTTCAGCCACAGTAGGGTCTCATCTTTCTCAAGGTAAATCCCACAGGGATGTACCTCCTTGCAGATCCAGTGTCACCCAGATCAATCTATAGCTATGTCCTGAAGACTGTCTGGCTGGATATTCAGTGACCAGGAGCACCAGAAGCTCACTAGAAGTGGAGGGGCCACCGGTGCCCAAACCATGGCCCCACCCCCACTCCTCTCCTCCCCTCAAGGCCACATCCTCATCCCGCCTCTTCCCCAAGGCCCCAGCCCCCACTCGCTCTATGCCCCTTCTCCCCAGTCGCTCACCTTTAAGGCAGGTAAAAAGTGGTGGGGCCATGGCCTGCTGACCCACCCTGTTCTGGCGCCCCTGTCCATGACTGGTGATTTTATTGATCCCTGACCATGTAGCAGCATTCCTTGGTAAACATGCTTTGTAATTCATGCTGAGGAAGATTGAAGAGTGGTGTATTGACATTTTTACTCTCATCATCATTGTCAGCTGCTCCATATTAAGTGGCAGGGCAAGATCAGCAATGAGACTATTCATAGCCGAACCCACTGACTGCCTCCATTGGCACTGATTCGGTTTCAGCAGTTTTCTTGGTATGGGCATATTATTAGGATGGAAGACCAACGAATTATGCAAGCCATTATAGGTAACTTATAGCAACATGCCTGTGCGTGAACTCCATTTAAAAATAATTGTCAAAGGGTTCTCTCCCCCCACCTGCCCTGCCCCACCCCAAAACTGCACTCTTGAACTGGCAGACTTCACGCATCTTGTGTTTTCAATGTACAAACCTCACCTGTGGGGTGGAAAGCCATGTATTCTGTGTGTTTGCAATACTGACAATCAATCAGATGCATATAGGTCTGGTACAATGCCACCTGCATCCACTTCCCCTCCTCCCCCTTGCCCTGATTTAACTGTTAATTGAAGAATCGTGGTTATGCAATTAGACGTTGTTACATAAATTTGAAATAACCATAATTTCCAATGGCAAAGCTTTGAATATGAAAATGTTCAATTAAATGTCAAAGAAAAATGACAGATTCTTCCCATTCTAAAAGAGTCTCACTCTAATTAGGTGGCTTGAATGTGAGCAAATGCTGACTACGGATGGCCTTGATGATCTAGAAATGCAATGTAGGCCTTTTCACGCTACAGCCTGAACACACACAATGGCCTGGTCTACACTACGACTTTAATTCGGATTTAGCTGCGTTAATCCGAATTAACCCTTCACCCGTCCACACTACAGAGCCAGTTAATTCGAATTAAAGGGCACTTAAAATCGATTTCTGTACTCCACCTCGACGAGCGGAGTAGAGCCTAAATCGATTTTGTTAATTCGAATTAGGGTTAGTGTGGCCGCACACCACCGAATTACTGTGGTTAAATTAATGGGGTAGTGTGGCCGCACACCACCGAATTAATGTGGTTAAAAACCGAATTAATGTGCTTAGTGTGGCCGCGCACAATCGAATTTATACAACCTGTTTCCCAAATTCGAATTATCTAAATTCGGATTAATCCCGTAGTGTAGACATACCCAATGACTGGTAATTTCTAAATTGGCTAGTAGGGAAAAAGATAGGTAGACGGATGGAAAAGCAAGGAAGCTTTGATATGACAACTTCTTTAGAGCTTATTCACTTCCTAATCAGACAATGGCAAGTGGGCATCAGGCTGCTGAGTAGTGGGGTATCTCAGCTTTCCAGCATAACACAAAATAAGGAGCAAGAAATTCACTGAGATGGGGAAAAATGGCTTCTATCCTGGGGAAGACTTAAAAACAATGTGTCTTAAACATCAATTGATTTATTTTCCCCATATTTTTTCACAATTTCTTTTTACCACGTGCAGCAATTGAGCTATTTTTGCTTAAAGGGACATAATTTGTTCTGTCCTGGACTATGGAAGGGTTTGGGGGGAAATTCCATTGGTTTGTCACGGTAGCATTAAATCAGCGAGAGTTGGGCCCACAAATTTGTGTGTTGATCAACTGGGGACATGGGAGTCAGGCCAGGATGTTGGGGAGGATGTAGGTGGATTCTGGGATCAGGATCTCCAAAAGCCACTATTTCACTAGGAGGGTGGTGAAGCACTGGAATGGGATAACCTAAGGAGGTGGTGGAATCTCCATCCTTAGAGGTTTTTAAGGTCAGGCTTGACAAAGCCTTGGCTGGGATGATTTAGTTGGTGTTAGTCCTGCTTTGAGCAGGGGATTGGACTAGGTGACCTCCTGAGGTCTCTTCCAACCCTAATATTCTGTGATTCTATGAAAAGCCACAATATCTTCTCACTGGACATGCCCAGGTTTTCTTGCCAATGCCTAAAGATCATTGAATGGCACTTTCACGTTGTTTTCCTGCTATGCTTTCTACCTTGCAGCATCCCCATTTATCATCGCCATGCTCCTAGCAAGTTTAAACAGCTGTTGCAACCCGTGGATCTACATGCTTTTCACGGGCCATCTCTTCCACGACCTTATACACCGGTTCCTCTGCTGCTCCACACGCTATTTAAAATCCAGGCAAGGATGTGACCTGAGCGTCAGCAAAAAAAGCAACTCCTCCACATTTGTCCTGAGTTGCAGGAGTTCAAGTCAGAAGAGCTTCACTCAGCCTTCCACAGCCTGAGAACTGTCCCAGCGCTCCATGGACTCCATTACTACTTCACTCTGACCATCTTTAATACATATTTGTAAAAAAGCTGTGATTCAGAATATGGTGGGGAGGGATTTATATATGTATATATATATATGTGTGTGTGTGTGTGTGTGTGTTGAATTCTTTATTTAACTGAGGCAGGAATAAGAAAAGAACTGCTGTAGTCAAAAGCACAGTTTGGAATGGATAGCTTAATGGAGTTCAATTCAACGGATCAGATCCTGAATCCTTCACTCGTTCAAGTCAATGGAGGTTTTGCATAACGACTGAATAATAACTATGGGGCTTGTCATGAAAGCTGAGTAGACTTACTGAAGCTGATGAGCCAAATTCTAACCTGGTGTAAGTGGGTACAGCTCCACTGACTTTAAGGAGTTGCACCACAGGGATGGCACTGAGTAAAAGCCACCCGGGCTGTCCTTACTCAAGTAAGAACGTATTACTCATGGAAGCAGTTCCATTGATTTCTGTTTGGCTCAAGGTTTGTTTAAGGCCTTCTAATATGTCTTTATTCAGCAATAATGCTCCATTGGCATCAAGTGAGTTTTGACTGAGTAAGGATTTTGGCCCTGATCCTGAAACTATGTATGCACATGATTAGCTTGAAGCATGTGAGTAAGTCCCATTGGCTTCAGAGGGACCATGCATGTGTTTCAGTTTAAGGATGTGCATAAATGCCTATGAGATCAGGGTGCCGGTACAGTAACATGTATGCTGATTGTGTTCAAAAGCTTTAATTAAGGCAAATACTTGGGGTGAATTTCTGGCTCCATTAAAGTCAATGATAAAACTTCAGTGGGGCCAGGCTTTCATTCTTTGGTTTACCATAGGCCGTGAAGTATTACACCAGTACAATTTTCTTGCCATGTAATTCACGCGATCTTGGTTATGGCATGGAGTATTCGTTAAAAGATTGTTTTTTTTTGTAAATTAAATTTTATAAATTCAACTTGAAGCAAAGAGGGGAGCAGTGAAGAAGAAGAAAAAAAAAAAAGCATGTGAAGGAAACCTGGGAGGAAAAAATGCTTCATGCACAAAATACAAGTATATCTAGATTGTATGGAATGCTTTTGTTTCTAGACTAACGCACCAAACTTTTATGACCTGTACAACATTGTATTACGTAAACATAAAGCTAGCACCACTGTGCTACCACTTTGGAGAAGTGCAAATAGTTATGGCACGATCCTGTTCCCGGTGAAGTCAGTGTGAATTTCCCCGCTGAATTCAATGGCAGCAAGATAAGCCATGCCAGGCTGAGTGGGCAACTCTTTGTTCATGTTCATCGTCCTTTCTCACACAAGTCGTTCCAAAATCAATGGGACACCATGCATGAGTTATGACTGCACATGAAGGAGGGGCTGAGGGATTTGACTGTATTTTTGCAATGGATATAAATACTGCATATTTATCAGTTTTGCTGTTTCATTATCATCAACTGATCCATTTTCAGCTTTTAGTTCTATAGATTTTGTTTTGGTCTCCAGGCACTTTTTAAAAATAGTAGCTTGGGACTGACTTTTAAGCATCGTGCCACTCATTAGTTCAGCTTGGAGCTTAAATCCCAGCTTGTTCTCATGCACTAAAGCAGTGGAACAGTGGAGTTCTGCACTTTCTCCATCCTCTATCCATTTAAACTCAAGGAAAATGAGAAATGTGTAGATTGTCCCCTTTCTGCACTCCCCAAGGAAAGGAATGTACTTTTATTTTAATGATTTTATTGTGATCATGGAAAAAAGCTACAGCTAGAAATACAGGATCTCATTCATCACTGTTTACTCTTGTTTTATGCTGGTCAACTCCACTGATTTCAGTAGAGTCAGGCCTGTTGAGAGTAACTTGGGTCCCCGGTACATCATGTGTGCTGCCCCCCCTCCCATTTCACCTCAGTTACAGATGCTTTAGGGCCCCCCCCTGAGCTTGGGGCCCTGGTGCAATTGTCCCTCTTCCCCTCCATCAGCCCTGAGTGGAGTTCCGGTGGTGTAAAGCAGAAGTAGCATAGGTGAAAGTAGACTGGTACGGTGTACCAGTAAGAAGTGGCCACCGGTACCGGCCTGTACGCAGCCGACGTTAAAGCGCTACTGCGGCAGCGCTTTAATGTCGTTGCCCCTTTTGCCCTCCCCCATCGGTGGCCCTGCCAGTAGGGACCCTCCCGGCAGGATTGCTGCTGATGGGGAGGGGGGCAAAAGGGGCATCTGCCACAGGGCCAGTGATTTAAAAGGGCGTGGGGTCCCCGGCTGCTGCCGCTGCTACCGCAGCAGCGGCTGGAGCCCCGGGCCTTTTAAATCGCCGCCGAAGCCCCGGATGGCAGAGGCCAGGCTGTGCAGATGGGCTGGCTGGGGGAGGCTGACCCACAGCCCTGACCCTTCCGCCCGAGGCCCTACCCCTTCCTGGGACCCGGAGCCAGGCCCCCGTACCGGTAAGTGCTTAATGTTACTTTCACCCCAGCAGAGCTGTGACTCAGTCCCACAGCCGAGCCCCAGGCTAGTCCTGCAATCTTAGCATGCGCAAAACTCCAGTTGGACGATGTCCAATCTCGCATGGTTCTATCACGCACAACTCCCACGGAGTCGAAGCGTGCACTGCCTGACGGAGTGGGATTCTGATTTAGTTAATTGCAAGATTTCAAAGCACTTATTTCCTATTCAAACTAGAGAAAGGACAAAACCAAAACCCGACATCTAATCTTTCCCAACGTTTAGAAAATTCAGAATCTTATTTATATAATAGGCCCAAACAAAATCCTAAATCCCACCCACACATGCCCTCATATCTCAGGATTATTTAGATTTAACTTTGTGGCTTGGACATGTCTCTACAAATTGCCCATGACTCTGCCTTTTTATATAAAACATAGTAGACCTGATTCTCCTCTGGGCCCCATTTGCAACTGGGCAAATTGGGTGTTACTACGATAGCCAATGATGGCCATAAATTGAGGACCAACCTAGAGACAGAGCCAGGTGGTGCTCCAGGAGGGTATGGCCCTTTAGGATTGGATAGGATGATTAATGATGAAAGTGGGTGTTAAACGCTATTTGTTTTGCTCTGACAAAGTTTTAGTGCCACTTTGCACAGGCGTAAGTGACTCCATAATGTGCCAGCCAGTGGAGAATCCAGGGCCATTGCGGTTTCCTTGTGTTATTCCTACCATCCATTGTACATTCCAGATCTTTCTGGAACTGATTACTGTGCACTGCATTATATTTCACAGTGTGCTGGAAATAGAGGGCCAGCACGTAACCTTCTTACTCAACCCTTACTTGGGCAAAACTCCCATTGACGTCAATGAACTTCAGTTTTGTCTGAATAAGGACTTAGGATTTTGTCCACTGAGCTTGATCGTGCTCTTATTAAAGCCCAATCCTGCACTTTCGTCTTACCATCATCCAGGTAAGGTAGTTTAATCAGTTTGTCCTGCATCTGCATCAGCATTCTGTATATTAAGGGAAGTGAATGATGAGCTTCTTTGCAGAAATGGTTTACGACCAGAAAGCTCAGTAAATTGTTTTTGAGAAATGATCGCTGATTATAATTTAAACCTAGGGACCAACAAATCACAATAATAAAAAATAAAGGCTCCACCCCCCAATCTACTTATTTTTTAAGCTTTATTATTTAGGACAGGTCATGATCCTGGATACAATCCTACTGCATAGTCAGCCACTTTGCTGCACTGTCTAGGCTATTGGTATTGTGTGTGGATGCAGGGGAAGAGCAGCCACCACTGAGCCACTCCTCCTCCTCCTCCAGTGAGTGGTGATGGGTGGGCAGAGATGTGAAGTGGGTGGAGCCAAGGCTCTGGCACTCCCTCCCCACCAAGTACCAGGCAGCATAGCTGAACTAGCATGGACGAGTGTGTGAACTGTACCAGGAAAAGGTCTGATGCCACTTACTTCCTCCACCAAGCAAGAGGGAAGCAGGGAAGCTTCTGGGATGATGCAACTACTCAGTATTGATTAGACTGCGAGGTGTTAGTAAGCCCATTGGAAGGATTTCACTAGAACACTGCACGGCAGAATCCCTGACCCAAAGCACTTATAACCTAAGATGCAGATGAATGGGTTGGCAGCCCAGGAGAACTGCCCTTTATCATCCAGACCCCCTGCTCTGAAATGGCTAACTTTAGAACATTGAAAAGATGAAACAAGACACCTTTCACAAGAGAAAAATGAATAAATGCATTGCATTAACACATTTCAAAAGGACATGAGCTCAGATACAATGCCGTAAAGGCTGCACGCCTACTAATAGCCCAAGACTACAGCTGGGAAGAGTTGTGGGTGTAGCTTTTTGAATTGAGTGTGTAATCAATAAAACAAAAATCACCCTCACATCACCTTTCATTATAACTTTTATTACAGTGAAAAACTAAAAATATTGCTCATAACCATATGATGTTCTCTGGGTATCAGGTCATAAGAGGCAAAGAACAAAGAATCAATTTAGAGTGTTTCTTTAAGGATTAACTCACTCTCAGAAACAATGGACATGTCCTATTCCAATGCAACTTCTCAAGCAATTCTGTCATCTTTTGGGTTTTCATGTTTTGCACCTGCAATATATGCACAAATTATAGCATTTTGACTGCTACCTACCTGACTGTGCCCTCAAATCAGGTAGCTGGTTACCTAATAGGCATCATTTCTGCCTGCACTGGCTGCACAATTAGAAGTGAGGCTGAAGTTTCTTTAAAAATGTGTCCCATAGTGAATAGCTTGGAGCATACTCACATGTCTGCCTAGACCAGCAATACAGCTGTTTAAGGCAAACTCTTAGACAAAGCTGAGCCATTCTATTTTCAATCACCACATTCTTTTTTTCTCTATTAGTCCTTTTAAAACGTTAGTGTCATTGGCGTGTTTAGTGCCATTACTTTGCAATAATGAGAGCACAAATCCCTGACGTCATTGGAGTAGTGCCAGTAGAGAATTTGGCTCTTAGTAGTCATTGGAGGAGGCAATTAGGCACCTAAATACCTTTTGAGGATCTGGGACCTACTACTTGTGGGAAGCCAATGCACTGAACTGAGGAAAGGACCATTAACCCTACCAGGAAAAATGTCTGAAAAGT